GGCACCAAAGTAAGATTGGATGTTGGTGGGTTGGGGGCTCGGTGAGTTGGTTGGGAGGGGGGGGTGTGTTTTTTGTTTGGGAATGTGGAGGGGGGGTTTGTTGTTTTTGTTTTATTAGTGTTTGATTATATTTGGTTTTTTCCTATTTACTTTTTTTTTTAGTTGTTTTGAGGTGTGGTTTGTTTGGGAAAAAAATTTAGTTTTATCTGAAGAAAGAAAAGATTGTAGGGAAGGTTCAGATTACCACATAAAAAAAAATAAAACTTCCAAAAATAAGTATTAATAACTTTAAAGGCAAAAATTTGGGATTTAATAAATAAAAGAAATTATTTGAAAAATGAATTCATTATTAGAAAGTAAAAAATATAAGTTTAATTATATATATATTAATCCTTGTTAATTTAAATATTTAAAAAGAATAAATAAATAGATTAAAATTATAAATTATAAAATAAAATTAATTCTCTGTAAATAAGAATAAGGTGTATTTAAAAAAAAAATTAAATAGATAGAGAAATTAATTGATTCATTTGAAATTGGATATATTAATTTATAAATAGAGATGGGTATCATTATGAATTTTTTTTTTTTCTACCCCCCAGATTTTGGTTTAATTGATTTAAATGAGGTGGTTTTAATGGTATTAAGAGAGAGTGAGTTTGTGTGTGTATGGGGGTGGGGGGATGTGAAAATGATCTATGAGGAAATAGGATTGATTATGTAAAGAGTTGTATTTGGATGGTAAGGAGAGTGAATTTGTGTGGGGGGTGGAGGGTGAAAAATGGATTTGTGTGAAATGCATGTTGATCACTTTAGATAAGTATTACAAGGAAGTGGGGTGGGAGGAGGTATTGTTTATGATTTCTGTGTGTATATAAAGTTGTGTTTAGGTAAAATTGATAAGTGAGTTATAAATATTAAATAAATTGTTAGTCTCTAATAAATATCTTTTTTTGGAATAAAAAATTCCTCTTAACCCAGGAACCTATCCTTGCAACAAAGCCCGTTGCCAACTGTGCCCACATATCTATTCAGGGGACACCATCAAAGGGCCTAATAACATCAGCCACACTATCAGAGGCTCGTTCACCTGCACATCCACCAATGTGATATATGTCATCATGTGCCAGCAATGCCCCTCTGCCATGTACATTGGTCAAACTGGACAGTCTCTACGTAAAAGAATAAATGGACACAAATCAGATGTCAAGAATTATAACATTCATAAACCAGTCGGAGAACACTTCAATCTCTCTGGTCACGCAATCACAGACATGAAGGTCGCTATCTTACAACAAAAAAACTTCAAATCCAGACTCCAGCGAGAAACTGCTGAATTGGAATTCATTTGCAAATTGGATACTATTAATTTAGGCTTAAATAGAGACTGGGAGTGGCTAAGTCATTATGCAAGGTAGCCTATTTCCCCTTATTATTTTCTACACACACCACCCCCCCCCACGTTCTGGTTAAACTTGGATTTGTGCTGGAAATGGCCCACCTTGATTATCATGCACATTGTAAGGAGAGTGGTCAGTTTGGATGAGCTATTGCCAGCAGGAGAGTGAGTTTGTGTGTGTATGGGGGTGGGGGGGTGAGAAAACCTGGATTTGTGCTGAAAATGGCCCACCTTGATTATCATGCACATTGTAGGGAGATTTCAGAGTAACAGCCGTGTTAGTCTGTATTCGCAAAAAGAAAAGGAGTACTTGTGGCACCTTAGAGACTAACCAATTTATTTGAGCATGAGCTTTCGTGAGCTATAGCTCACTTCATCGGATGCATACCGTGGAGACTGTCTCCATGGTATGCATCCGATGAAGTGAGCTGTAGCTCACGAAAGCTCATGCTCAAATAAATTGGTTAGTCTCTAAGGTGCCACAAGTACTCCTTTTCTTATTGTAGGGAGAGTGGTCACTTTGGATGAGCTATTACCAGCAGGAGAGTGAGTTTGTGTATGTATGGGGGTGGGGGGGGTGAGAAAACCTGGATTTGTGCTGGAAATGGCCCACCTTGATTATCATGCACATTGTAGGGAGACTGGTCGCTTTGGATAAGCTATTGCCAGCAGGAGAATGAGTTTTTGTGTGTGTGTTTTTTTGGGGAAAAAAAAAAAGGGGGTGGGGGGGTGAGAAAACCTGTATTTGTGCTGGAAATGGCCCACCTTGATTTTTATACACATTGTGAGGAGAGTGGTCACTTTGGATAAGCTATTACCAGCAGGAGAGTGAGTTTGTGTGTGTGGTTTTTGGAGGGGGGGGGGGGGGTGAGAAAACCTGGATTTGTGCTGGAAATGGCCCACCTTGATTATCATACACAGTTTAAAGAGAGTGGTCACTTTGGATGGGCTATTACCAGCAGGAGAGTGAGTTTGGGGGGGGGGGCGGAGGCGGAGGGTGAGAAAACCTGGATTTGTGCTGGAAATGGCCCAACTTGATGATCACTTTAGATAAGCTATTACCAGCAGGAGAGTGGGGTGGGAGGAGGTATTGTTTCATGGTCTCTGTGTATATAATGTCTTCTGCAGTTTCCACAGTATGCATCGGATGAAGTGAGCTGTAGCTCACGAAAGCTCATGCTCAAATAAATTGGTTAGTCTCTAAGGTGCCACAAGTACTCCTTTTCTTTTTGCGAATACAGACTAACACGGCTGCTACTCTGAAATAATTCATTAAATAAATGCTACTTGAAGGGTTTGTTGAAATACAGTTGTCAGGAAGAGAAACGTTAAGGAGTGTGAGACAAGGGGTCCTCAAACTAATTAACTTAGAGCTCCTACTGAGCTAGGAGATTGGTAAACGTTAGTATGCAAATAAGATATGTATGTATATTTGTCAGTTTCTGCTTTCTTTTGTCTCTTATGTTAAATTGGCTTTGGCTTAGCTGTATAAATAAGTTACCTTGAACCTCAGAGAAGGGCTCACATCTGGGCGCACTAGCAGGTGCTAATAAACAGAGTGGTCTGACAAATTATGTGAGTCCTGAATCTGACTTTGACACTTTCATAGGGATAGGTTTCAGAGGAACAGCTGTGTTAGTCTGTATTCGCAAAAAGAAAAGGAGTACTTGTGGCACCTTAGAGACTAACCAATTTATTTGAGCATGAGCTTTCGTGAGCTACAGCTCACTTCATCAGATGTTTCCACGGTAAACATCTGATGAAGTGAGCTGTAGCTCACGAAAGCTCATGCTCAAATAAATTGGTTAGTCTCTAAGGTGCCACAAGTACTCCTTTTCTTTTTTCATAGGGATGAAACCTCTGGGGTCCTTACAAACATGATTCCCAAACCCCACAGAATTTAACAGAGAGTGAGAGCCTTTTTACGGGGTTTCTAAACCATCTCCTCTAGGCAGCACAGATTTCCCTATTGCACCCAGTAGGATAGTTACACAATCAACAAGAGAGGACCTTCTGGCAGGGGCAGGGAGTACTTCATACCATTCTGAACCCAAGAGAGGTGGCCCAAGAGCAGCTCTGATGAGTCCCCTCCTTGGCTGGGAAGCTGGGTCAGGTCAGCCTGTTGTTAAAGTCAACAATTTTGGTGGGGCCTGTAATTGCCCTTGGTCCTACCTGAGCACCCCATGCTGTGCTGCTATGAAAGGAGCGCCGTCAGAGTCCTCAAGTGCTGGAGTCTGCTGCTGGCATGTGGCCATGTGCACTGTGCTGTCTGGGATGCTAGGTCAGCTGTCCCATGTGAAATCTTCACCCAGAAGAGCTCTGCGCTTACATCAACGGGCATTCACAGAACGGGTTTGCTCTGCTTTCTCCCCTCATTTTTGCTGACTGGCAATGTGGTTCACTGGAGAGCATGACACTAGAAGCCAGGAACCCCTAATCTCTGACCTGACTCTGGATAGGTTGCTCTATGTAACACAGACTTTGCTTGCTGATGGTCCATGGGAAATCCCAGCCTGGAGTTTGGTGCCACCTGGGACTAGCCTGTATCTAATTACCCCCTGTCCGATGTAGTGTTGCTCATTGCAAGGCAATACAGAAACACATCCCAGTTACCTTTCTCTGACTAGTCCCTCTGCATGTTTGTATCTCACTCTCACACTCCAGCTGCCCCAATTTTTTCCCAGAAAGTTCTTTTGTGGGAAATTTCAGTTCTTTTTTTTTTGTACCACTACAAAATGATTTTTTTTTCTTTTGAAATTGTGGAACAATTGAAACAAAATTAAATCCCTGCTCAAATCAAATCCCTTCATGATCAATTCTGCATGATGCTCTGGCACTTCCTATTCTTTCCCGCAGAGGGCAGCATTTAATTGCAAATACTAAGATGGCCAGCCAGCTGGGATGTCTCATCATTTGCTCTTGCTTCTCCTGCTCTCTGTAGGTTGCTGGTATCTAGGTGGGAGGCCCTGTGCATGTCACACACAGAGTTAGCTGCAGGTCTGATACAAATCCTGTTAAAATCAAGGGAAAGATCCTCACTGACTTCAGTGGGCTCCGGATCAAGCCTTAATGGAAAATAGCTGCCAAGCTATTTATCTGTATATTATCAACGGAATGGATCTTGTTCCCATGGCTATCCTGGGAAGTTATGACAAGCCACACACTTCATTTAGCCTTTCCTCCAACAGACAGGCTGCAGAGCCAGAGCACAGAATGGTGCACTACAGCTGGATGAATCTTTGGCGGTTTGGTTTGCAGCTCACTTGAGAACAACATGAAACAGTCAACAGCCATTGACTAACAACAGGCCTCCACCACACCCATGCTGCTTACTTCCCACCCACCTGGCACTGCCCAAGCCCAGCAGTGTCCACAGAGTGTTACTCACATTGTCCACTGAGCCCCATGTTGTCCTGACTCACTCATTTCTCTCCCTGCCTCACATCCCACCCCTTTCCTGTCTGGCCAATGTTAGTTGTACCTTGCCAGACCTGGAGTGCCCAGTTACCCACATTTCTAGCCTGCTTTGTCCATTGCCCTCCCTGGTTCCTTACCATCATGTCTCCTCTAGGAGTGAAAACAAGCAGCCACGTTTACTCACCTGATCCAGATGGAACCTGGTGACATCCTGGGTTCTGCAGAGCAGAAAGCAAAGGGTCATGGATGGGAGCCAGGCAACCTGCAAGCCCATCTGAGCAAGAAATAACTTGTGAAGTCCCTTCCCTTTGTCACTCCCTGCCTGAGGGAGGAAGCAGGTAGGTCTCAAGACGGTTTGGTTTGCTGGTGCCCAAAATAACACCTCAAGCTGCCTGGGAGCCAGTGCAGATCTTGGAGCAAAGGGTGACATGCCCCTGCTCTGAGCCACTGCTAGTCTGGCAGTCAGCCAGTAGCCCACAGCACTGATCCAGGGCCTGATCCAATGCCTATCAGAGTCAATGAGGGTCTTTCTGTTGACTTCAAAGGACCTTGGATCAGGTCCCAGTTTGGAACTTACAAGGCCTGGATGACTGTGGAGATGTCCCTAGGTTCTTGCCAAAGGTAGATGGAAAAACAAACAAACTCTCAGCCACCACAGCTAACTGAGCATCCAGGAGCAGCCCCAAGTCACTAGGCAATACAAGGAGAAACAGCTGTACTCCCTGTCAAGGCATGCCATTTCTTCTGGTGGCTTGCCCCAGCCTCCAGGCATCAGCTCTGTGCTGTCAAGGTGGGGTCTCAACCAGTTCGCTCCTGCCCAAGGCGCTGGGGAAGCCTGTGCCAACTGTACTGGGCAAGATGGAAACCCAATACTGGAGGAGGGCTTCCAGAAGTCAGGCAGGCTGGAAGCTGGCCATTGGGGCAGGCACGATGAGGGTGCTGTGAGAAGGGTGCAGGTGTGTGTGTGTGTGGGGGGGGGGGAACTGGGCCTTTTGCCTTGCAGAGGATGTTGGGTCCTTAAATACCACCTGTCTTTTGTCTCCCCATATCCTCTAGTTCTTTCCCCTACCATGGACTAACCTGACCAGCTCACCTCCTTCTGAACTAGGTCCCGCTGCTGAATGGCATGCTGGGTCCCACTGCAATACATTATGGACAGACCTCTGTGGTGTGAAGTGATTCCTAATGCACTGTGCTGTCCCACCAGGCCAGCAGCTGGCCAGGCTTGCCCCAGGAAGACCGAGCTCAGAAGTGGGCAGCCTATGCCCAATGAGGCAGAGGAGCACAGGAGGAGAAGGGGAGAGGGCTGAGCAGAAGGTGGTGAGAGATGGTTTGACTTTACCTGGCTGGGCCTGTGAGTCAGCTGGGAGGCAGGAAGTGCCCCAGAAAACCAATCAAAGCCCAGTGAGCTGGGATGTGTGTGCCCCATGCTAATGCTGCGCTCTTGCACCATTGGGGCCAGAGTACAATCTCACTTGTGGTCCTAGTGAAGTGAGTCTACTAATGACTTCCAGCGAGCCCTTGGGATGTGTCTGCATTAAGAAGCCACTACTCAGCCTGGCCCAATTCAACACGATTCAGCGGTGAGACATATCAGGATGGAAGGACATTGGCCCAACTGTGTGGGGCACAGGACTGCAGGATGGGTTCAGGGAGGGATCACAGGGAAGGTTGCCCACCACTCCCCACACTGTCACTGGCTCCAGTCAGGACCATCATTCTCTTACTAGCAGGGGCAAAATATTCACAAAAAGAAAGTGCTGGGGGTTAGGAGGGAACTTCTGATAAGAGCAGGTTATTCCCTAGCTTCCCAAGGTGGAGGTCTCACACCTGCCTCTGAAGCCACCACAGAGACAGGATACTGGGCTAGATGGACCTTGGGGTTGGTTCAGTCAGCCAATCCCTATGTTCCTAAAATGACACTAGCAATGGACTACCAGTGGGAGGCAGGAGGAAGAAGCTGGTGCAGGAGGACCAGGGGAGGTGCCTAAGGACACATCTACCAGAGACAAAGAGATTTCCAGCCCAAGCTGGAACACTGCTCCCCATACCTTCTGAGCATGTCTGCATCATCCACGTCACTGTCTGCTGGGCCGCCTGCCTTTTCATATAGGAGCATCTGCTTATCTGGCAGAATCTCAGCTACAGCATCAGGGGGCGGGAGGGAGACGTCATTATCTTGGTTAAGCTGTAAGAAGGAGTTTAGAAGGTCACCATGGATGGAGCAAAGCTTACAGAAAGTGGGGCCGGTGCCATGCAGAACACCTCGGGTGAGGGAATTGAGGCCATATCCTCAGCTGATGTAAATTGACATAAAGTTCTGCTGACTTCTGTGGATTGATGCTGATTTCCAGATCTGGTCCCTAACATGGAAGCCAGGCTGATACCATAACAGAAGCTCTCCTATATCCTTCCTCTCCTTCTCTCTTTACTTAGGGCACTTGTCTGAAGAGATTCTCTGTGTTTCCTAAGAGTTCATCTGGTCTGGCTGTTTACTTGGCCCTGTTTGGTCTTTCCGATGCTTCATCTTTCAGAGGAGATGAACAGCACAGCCCAGGACCGCTGTGTCAAGGCTGAATCCCAACTCTGTCACTCCGAGTGCAGAAGTGGGGCCCGCAAGGATTTTAAAAATGAATACTGGCCACTCCAGGCTTGTATTAAACTCTCAAGGTTACAGCTTTTCTCTGACCTTGGCTTGATAAACGCTGCCATCACCCAAATGTAACAAAACCCCCTTTGAACCCAGGAAGGAGCACTTGGGAATTCCTCCCTGTGAGGTGCCCTCAAGCCCTTACACCCCCATCCCAGGAAGAGCTGAAAAAGGAAACAAAGGAAATTAGCTGTGGCTACCAGCTAATCAAACAACATGCACAAACCTCTTAGGACACCAAAAATCCAATCCTGTTCTTAAAAAAGGTAAATTTTATTAAAAACAAAAAGGAAGAAAATACATCTGGAACCTAGGCTTTTGCTAGATTTTAAAAGAGCAATTCCAAAAATCAAGCACCCGAAATAGCTTTCTTGGGGGTTCAGCTTAAAGGTTACACACAAACAAAAGCATCTGGGGTTAGCACAGAGAAGTCCACAAGCCAATAAGAAATAACCCTAACTGCATCTAGTTAACATTCTGATCTACTTACACATTGGAGTTCAGATAAGTAGTTCTAGGCTTGATCTGAGGACTTATAATCATACCTGGCTTAGCGGCTTATGGCATGGCTACTCTGACCCTCCAGCCCAGAGAGAACAGACAAAGGGAAAGTTTCTTTCCCAACTTTAAAAAGTTCTACCTTCCCATTGGCTCTTTTGGTCAGGTGGCTGGCTGGGTGTCCATCAAAGGAAGCTATCCCCCCACTTTATTTATTATAAGGTCACTGAAGATCACACAAGGCACTTTAGGCATTGGTATGAGTCGTTAACTCTGGCACAATTCCAGAGGGATCAGTTACATTCAGTCTCTCTCAGGCCTCCAGATGTTTCAGCCTAATCACTAATTCTCAGGCAGCCTTGACATTTCAGTGCAAATTTGCCAAGATGATTGGCACTGGACTGGGCTCAGGAAAGCTGGGTCTTATGTGTGACCTTGGGTATGTCATGTCTGCTCTCTGTGCCTAAGGGCCAGGGCCATCCCTAGCCTCCCCGCTAATCTCCTTGCCGTCCATCTGGTGTGCCCACCTGGCTGCTGCTCGCCTCCTCACCCCAGTTCACCCCACCCAAGGTGACCACCCTACCCACTGTGGGTCCAGCTCTAGAACAGGGCTCCTAAATCCTTGCTGCACTGTGAGGGACTCAGCTACTAGAGTGATGGGGCCACCTAAGACCTGAGATAAACTGTTTCACCCACTTATTAAAGTAGTGGGTATGTTTGGTGAACACACATGATGCTGTATGATTGAAATATGACCATTTATATGATTAATATTGCCACTATTATTGAAACAAATCTTGTACAAAGTATCTCATGTAAGGTATCAGTGGAAAAGTTACAGTCAATCAAATATGGTTATCCTGTTTATATGCATGTATCATCTTTGTATCTGAAGTTATAAATATTGATTATGTACCAGTATTTCATGTGTTTGCTTCTGGGGTAACACCCACAAGGTAGTTTACATCCAGTCTAGCCAGCACATTGCACATGGACCATTCAAGTAGATGGCCCATTAAAGGACAAAATGGGCCATAGAAGAAGCTTATCCCTGCCGAGTGCGTTGTAGATGCTTTAGCCAAAATATGGGTAATGGCCAATGTTCCCTCTAATTTTTGACAGGCCGTGTGGGCAAAAAATTTCTTCTGTGCAAATTTTTGTGCGTGCGGTGTTTCGCCATGTGCCCGGGGTTTAGGATCTGGGTGCGCGTGCACATGCGCACAGCTTAGAGGGCACAGTGGTAATGGCTGCTCTTATGAGTCATCAAAGAATGCAAGGGCATGTGACCCTGGACTCCATCTTGTGCCTGTACTTTTCCACAAACTAAGACTGAGAGCAGTCCCTCCACCTGGGAGAAGATATAAAGGACCCTGGAAGCATCTCCATTTGCCTCTTTCCTGCTCGGATCTCTGGACTATAGACTTACACTAAAAGGAGTATTCCAATCAATGAACTGAGGACTTTACAAGCCAGCAGTTTATTCATCACTGCTTCAAACCTGATATAAGAACTCTGCAAGGATTATATGTATTTGATTTCCTTAACCATTTTAACTCTCTCCTCTTTCTTTTCTCTTATAAATAAACCTTTATATATTAGATACTAAAGGATTGGCAACAGCATGATTGTTAGGTAAGATCTGAGCAATATATTGACCTGGCTGCGTGGCTGATCTCTTGGGATTAGAAGGACTCTTTGTCTCATGAAATTGGTTTTCAATAAGCACTCATCCTTAGATGTTTTTAAGGCCTGGCTTGACAAAGCCCTGGCTGGCGTGATTTAGTTGGGGTTGGTCCTGCTTTGCGCAGGGGGTTGGACTAGATTACTTCCTTAGGTCTCTTCCAACCCTAATCTTCTATGATTCATCATAAAGTCTAGTGTCTGGGTGGTGAAATGTGTGCTGGAATGCCTAAGGAGACTGCATTTCTGACTTCTAGTTAACTAGTGTGGTAAGACAGAAGTTTACTTTTGTTTCAGGCTTGGTATATCTAATAATAGAATAATCACTAATTTGGGGTGAGTCTGCCCTATTTCTCAGCAGTTTGTCCTGAATCTCGTATCCTCAGCTGTGACTCACTGAGGCATGGTGACAACACAGTCTTTTGCATCTCTTCACTTCATCAAAATGGAACTGTGCACACTTTGCATTGTATACTTCATGTAAATGAGTGATTTACATCCGATTCGTTGGTGCCTAATTATCAGGGACAAATCCTACTTCAGTGAACACCACACATTGCTGAACTAATCAAACAGAGGTGACACAGTGCAAACAAAGTTCTCTCCCGGCAATCTTTAAAACATTCGCAAAAAGAAAAGGAGTACTTGTGGCACCTTAGAGACTAACCAATTTATTTGAGCATGAGCTTTCGTGAGCCACAGCTCACTTCATCAGATGTGTACCGTGGAAACTGCAGCAGACTTTATATACACACAGAGAATATGAAACAATACCTCCTCCCACCCCACTGTCCTGCTGGTAATAGCTTATCTAAAGTGATCAGCAGGTGGGCCATTTCCAGCACAAATCCAGGTTTTCTCACCCTCCACCCCCCCACACAAATTCACTCTCCTGCTGGTGCTAGCCCATCCAAAGTGACAACTCTTTACATAATCAAGTCGGGCTATTTCCTGCATAGATCCAGGTTTTCTCACTTCCCCCCCACCCCCATACACACACAAACTCACTCTCCTGCTGGTAATAGCTCATCTAAACTGACCACTCTCCAAGTTTAAATCCAAGTTAAACCAGAATATCTGGGGGTGGGGGGGTAGGAAAAAACAAGAGGAAACAGGCTACCTTGCATAATGACTTAGCCACTCCCAGTCTCTATTTAAGCCTAAATTAATAGTATCCAATTTGCAAATGAATTCCAATTCAGCAGTTTCTCGCTGGAGTCTGGATTTGAAGTTTTTTTGTTTTAAGATAGCGACCTTCATGTCTGTGATTGCGTGACCAGAGAGATTGAAGTGTTCTCCGACTGGTTTATGAATGTTATAATTCTTGACATCTGATTTGTGTCCATTTATTCTTTTACGTAGAGACTGTCCAGTTTGACCAATGTACATGGCAGAGGGGCATTGCTGGCACATGATGGCATATATCACATTGGTGGATGTGCAGGTAATTTAGGCTTAAATAGAGACTGGGAGTGGCTAAGTCATGTGTGTGTATGGGGGTGGGGGGGAAGTGAGAAAACCTGGATCTATGCAGGAAATAGCCCGACTTGATTATGTAAAGAGTTGTCACTTTGGATGGGCTAGCACCAGCAGGAGAGTGAATTTGTGTGGGGGGGTGGAGGGTGAGAAAACCTGGATTTGTGCTGGAAATGGCCCACCTGCTGATCACTTTAGATAAGCTATTACCAGCAGGACAGTGGGGTGGGAGGAGGTATTGTTTCATATTCTCTGTGTGTATATAAAGTCTGCTGCAGTTTCCACGGTACACATCTGATGAAGTGAGCTGTGGCTCACGAAAGCTCATGCTCAAATAAATTGGTTAGTCTCTAAGGTGCCACAAGTACTCCTTTTCTTTTTGCGAATACAGACTAACACGGCTGTTCCTCTGAAACCTTTAAAACATTGATTTTCTTAACTCAAGTGATAGAAATCCAGTGCAAGCCCAAATATTGCTAATTCAGTTATCTCACATTCTCTGTAACACAAAGCAGGGTCATGTTTCCCAACTGCTAGTCATTAACTCTGAAAATATACCTGCTTCGCTGGAACCTCCATTATCCACAATGATTTGTTCCCCGCCACGACACTCTGGTGACCACAACCATAAAAGCATATTGGTTATATCTGACGCTGCATCTGATCATGTTGTATCACCTCTGGTGGAAAGATACCTTGACACATGAGCTTTCAAAATGTAATGCTCACAAAAGCCATGTTCAGCACTGCAGCATGGGCAGCAGTCTACCCGTGGCTGCAGAGTCCTGGCCAGGAGCTACAGAGGCCCTGACACTAGCTAGCGCTAGTCAGCCTGAGAGCTAGAGAGCAGAGAGGATCCCAGGGTCTGCCTGTGTCCAGCAGGCTCGGCAAACAATCCTCTTGCTCTTCATTACAATTAAGCCCTGTCTCCTCACAGCTGTGAGGGGCCCTACAATGGCAAGAGCTACCTGCCCCCTTTGCTAGCAGCGAGGCTAAGAACTGAATGGGTCATGGGGATGGGAGGTCTCCTGTTCTGAAATGGTCTCTCCATTAGATTAGGGCTGCCATGTGATTGCATGGCGCAGAAGGGGTTAGTGTGCATCGCCTGGGCTGCGTCTGTGCTGTTGCTAATGAGAAGAATGCACTCCCAGAGCTGTCAGTCTGGCACCCTTTGCCAGCACTTAATTTAATGTGAGAGACAAAGAGAGATGGTTCATGGTCCCCTACCCCCGTTTGCAGCCCTGGATACTCACGGTTGAGGAGAACGGCCTGTAATACCAAGCCATCCACCACCTGTACCTGGCCCCTATCCTACTAGCTCATTCCAAGCCGTCTCCCATAGGCTGCTGCTGCTGCTCCTGAGAGACTCTGGGCTCCAGAGATAACTGGTGACACCCTTCACTGGCAGGCCAGCCATCCGTGATAACCAGTTCGTTGCCAGGTGTCTGTCACGTCAAACAGCAACACCCACAGAACTATGCAAACTCCAGAGCTCAAAGGCAAATCAGCGATCCCATTCTCTGCTGTCCTGACCACAGGGGGCTTGGACACACACCCTACCACGGCTGCAAGCTGCCTAGGAAAAGGCAGTAGGACACCAAACTTACAGAGGAGTTAGTAGCCTGCAGCATGAGGGAAGCCAGGCGTCTTTGAGGAACTTTTTGCTAGCAAGAGGGGTTTAGGTTTACGCAGGCACCACCTGCTTCCTTTGTGCATTCACAGCTCACACTGTGCTGCTGTTGCTACAACAAGAAGGTTCCTCTTAGCAACCGCACAGGAAAGGCTCCCTTTGAACTCCAGCTTCAGTGCACAAAGTGTGCACCCCACAGGTTTTCTCACTGCCACAGCAGATGTGTGGAAAGGAAAGAGAGGGGTGAGCCGCTCTGATGGAGAGCCAAGGGCCTAAGGTCAAGTATGCAAATCCAGGTTTCGACACCTGCCTGATTAGCAGAGGTGCTGAGCCCCCAGGCTTCCATTGACTTCAGAACCAGAAGATCAGGCCTCTTCTAGTTCTACATCTATGGGTGGACTGAAGCACTGAAAAAGTTAGCCTAGATGAAAAACCTTGAGCAACACAAACCTGTTGTTCTGTGTCTCCATCGAAGCAGTTTGTTACATGGGTACTGCCAAGCTAAAAAAACAACCCTGGGCACCACTCAATTGAAGTCAGTGATGGAATAAATTGATGCATTTATGCAGATTTACATCTGCTGGGCACCTAGATTTCTTTATCTTTATTACCCCGTAAGTCATTACAAATGTCATGGACTTTTCACCATTAATTCTATTAGTTTATCCTTTGCATTCTCTGATTGGGACAATGAAAATAAAGTGGTCAGTTTCATTTATGTAGTAAGTCAGTTTCTAGTCCAATGGTTCTCAACCTGTTTACCACTGTGGGCTACATATGCATCTATATGTTATATGGGCCTCATCCACACAATATGTATACTACCTGTATGCAGTGGTGAGCTGGAGCCGGTTCGCACCGGTTCGCACGCGCCAGGTGTTAAATTTTGAAGCAGTGTTAGAACCGGTTGTTAACCCGCTTCCCTGCAGGGGGCGCTGAGGCTTTGATGGGCTCCGGCCCGGAAGTGATGCAATTCCTCCTCCGGCCGCCGGGGGCGCTGCGCTGCGGGAGCCATGTGGGCTGCCGCCTGGCCCTGGGCACGAGCCCTGTTGCTGCTCCGGCTGCTCCCCGACCCCTGGCCCTGGGGCTCCTGCTGCTGCCTGGTGGGTCCCTGGCTGCTCAGCTGGGCCTGGGCTGCGTCCTGCTGCTCGGGCTGCTCCGAGCCGCTCTCCCCATGAGTACCCACCACCCTGCCTGCAGCCAGCCCCTGCCTCCAGCCACCCCCGCACTCCCTGCCTGCAGCCAGCCCCTGTCTCCAGCCACCCCCGCACCCCCTGCCTGCAGCCAGTCCCGCACCCCCTGCCTGCACCCCCTCCCTTCAGCCAGCCCCTGCCTCCAGCCACCCCCGCACCCCCTGCCCGCAGCCAGCCCCTGTCTCCAGCCACCCCCTGCTGATCCCACCCCACATCCACTGGTGCCCTGCAGTTCCCAGGGCAGTAACCCTGCACACCTGCTTCAATGAGGGGGGTAGGGAGCAGCAGGGACCAACACGTGCACACCCTAGGGTGATCAGACAGCAAGTGTGAAAAATCAGGACGGGGTGGGGGGGTAATGGGACCCTATATAAGAAAAAGACCCCAAAATCGGGACTGTCCCTATAAAATCGGGACATCTGGTCACCCTAGCACAGCCCCAGGGAGTGGCGGGGACCCACACATGTGAAACGGAGCTTGTTTCTAGTTCAGGCCCATCTTTTAAAAAAAGAACTTTAGGCAGGGTTAACATACAGCCGTATTTTCCCGGACAGGTCAGGCTTTTTGGTTCTTAAATCGCCGTCCGGGAAGAATTTTTAAATTTTAAAAATACGGACGTATGGTATGGAAAATACGGACGTATGGTGACCCTGTTGGTACAAAAAATACATACTGTGGCACATCCCTTCTATCAGAACTTTTTATAGGAGCCGGTTGTTAAGATTTTGGCAGCTCATCGCTGCCTGTATGGCCCTGAGGATGTCACATGGGCTGGAGCTGTGTGCTGATTGCGCCACAAGTGCCCCACAGGCCCTGGGTTGAGAACCACTGTTCTAGTCAATTCTACCTGCAAGAGTCCAGTATACCAGCTTTTAGATTGGCAGTGCTGCTGGGGAAGTTTAACTTTAGGGCTGTTTAACTTTTAAATGTTACCTCTGCATTTGGACCCATTTCAATGGGTGTTTTGGTCTATGAAAACTAGTTTACAAAGACTAATTCTGGGCCAAACTTGACCTTACAGTGACTATTTAAAAAGAGAGATTTCTGTACTAGCATAGTGTTCCATAAGCAAAATACTACAGGGGAGGGTCTTCTCTGCCTTGCATTATTGTGTCATCATTCATGCCTGTGCTAAGCTGGTATAAAATGTTGAGATCATTTCCAATCACACTGCACAGATGTACACAAGGTGTAAAGCAATGGAGAATTGGGCCCTAAATATAAAAACCTCACAATCACCCCTCTAACTTTTATTTAGAAAAGGAAACTTTAGAGGCAGGGAAGAGACAGCCCACCCAGAAAAAAATAAGACACCCCTGTAATGATGCTGCCTCTGGCAGGACACAACTGAGAGTATCAGTTCAGGACAAATTGCTTAGAGCAGGGCAGTTACAGCCCAAAGCTGGAGTTCCTTTACTATTAAGGCAAACCAAACCAGCCAAACAGAGAAGACTTTGGTTTTACCCCACTGGTTAACCATAAGTCACACAAGCAATTCCTGCAGACACTCCAGTTTCCCAGTATCACCACCAGCAGCCACTCGTTATGGGGATGAATGGTTATGAAAACCAATACCCCAGTAAAAGAAAAAAGGTTTGCCCGATCCCAAAGGACCAAGCCTCAGACCCAGGTTAATATACAAGTCAGATCTTACCCACAAATCACGCTGTTGCCAATCCTTTAGAATCTAAAATCTAAAGTTTTATTCATAAAAGGAAAGAAATATAGATGCTAGCTAGAATTGGTTAAATGGAATCAATTACATACAGTAATGGCAAAGTTCTTGGTTCAGGCTTCTAGCAGTGATGGAATAAACTGCAGGTTCAAATCAAGTCTCTGGAGTACAACCACAGCTGGGACAGGTCATTCAGTCCTGTGTTCAGAGCTTCAGTTTGTAGCAAAGTTCCTCCGGAGATCAGAAGCAGGACTGAAGACAAGGTGGAGGAGATGCAGCTGCCTTTCAAAGTCTCTTGCCATGTGGCTTGTGCTTTCTTTGTTCCAACCACAAGCTACCCAGCACATGGCATGGAAAAACCTTAGAGTTCTGTCCATAGGCATGTCCCTGCATGCCTTGCTGAGTCACAAGGTGTATCTGCCTTCTCTCAATGTGTCAGTTGTATAGCTGATGGTCCTTAATGGGCCATCAAGCAGGCTAGGCAGTGCTGATGTTAACTGGTCTGGGGGGTCACCCAGAAGGATAGCACAAGTTTGAAATACAGACAATATAGAGCCAATATTTATAACTTTACATACAAAAATGATACATGCATACAGATAGCATAATCATAACCAGCAAATCATAACCATGTCTTAGACACCTCACATGACAGCCTTTGTACAATATTTGCTGCAAATATATAACAGTGGTTGCAACAATGATCTATACGGTTACAGTTTATGTCAATAATGTCACAATTCCACCCCACCCTTGCTTCTAAACCCGCTACCTGTCTCTGTTACTGACCTTTTAGGAAGGTTATGAAATATCTGATTTATTCCCCCATATGTTTCATTTCCATGCATTGCTGTATTCTGGCAAGGCTCAAAAGTCCACAAGAAAGCATGCTCTGGTTCTGATCCAAAACCTAGTTCAGTATCATTACAGTCCTTGTCAATCAGCCCAAGCTCGAGATGTCTCAGACCTCACTGAAATTCAAAGCTCCAGAACCCATTTAAGACCAGGTTAATAATAAACCAGCTAGAGTGTTCTGGGTCCTTGCCAAATTCCCTGTTTGGGGATGCCAAGGTGAATGATGGAGGATTGGGCCAAAAGAAATCTGATGAGGTTCAATAAGGATAAGTGCAGCGTCCTGCACTTAGGACGGAAGAACCCAATGCACCGCTACAGACTAGGGACCAAATGGCTAGGCAGCAGTTCTGAGGAAAAGGACCTAGGGGTGACAGTGGACGAGAAGCTGGATATGAGTCAGCAGTGAGCCCTTGTTGCCAAGAAGGCCAATGGCATTTTGGGATGTATAAGTAGGGGCATAGCGAGCAGATCGAGGGA